GATTTATTTATTTTTTAAATCATTTTCACATTTATGGAGTTTATTTATTTATTATCCTTTTTCTTTCATTATATATTTTCTTGATTAGGAGATTTATCTCCTTTTTGTTATTTGGATTATACTATGGTTGTTAATAAATGATGATTTACATTTATTTATGCTGATTTTCTTTGTTAATGATTATGAGGATGTATTTTGCTTGTTTGTTTATTAGTTTGGAAGTTGATTATACTAAATCCACTTTGTTAGTTGGTAATTAGAAGGTTAAAAAAATAATCAATTTTAGTATCTCACATGTTTAAGACGGTAAGATTCAAATGACACTTTGATATATTGTTATATGTTAGTACATTATTATAGCAATAATATTTTTTTTCACTTGACCACTTTTAATTCATTTATAATATAAGTTCAATACATATTACAAAGAACAAATTTATTATTCACATATAATACAAGTTTTAATGATGGATAATAAATTTATCACACATTTTAATACACTTATAATTCAATGTGACAATTTCTTACCAAACAAACATAATATATTTCAAAAACAATTATAATTCAAATACATTGCATACATAATGTGAATGGTATTGGGCTAGATTGATTCTTCTTAACATAGGGCCATTTTTCTGTTCAACCGGCCCAACTATTACCAACACAGTTTTATCACTAGCACATTATATTAAAACTCCAACTACGCGATGTTTCAATTGAATATCTTTTATCTCTCGGTATAATGTTAATCACATAAAATATGCAAGCTTCTTTAATTAAAGCATTCACCTCATTAATTCATAAAACTCACACACATATCTTGAGATGATACGTATAATTAATGGAGACGACATATTCTATGTGGTTAACTTAATTGCCAAATCGATAAACAAAAATACAGACAAAATATAAATCGAGATAGTCTAAGGAGTTGAGATTTTCAATTAGAATATTTGATTTGGTTTGAGTGTCTGAATAGAATAGCCCGACAAGTTTAAGAATCTAATCAAATATTATGCCAAAACTAAATATATCTTTTATAATTTCATTGCATAGTCATGAACTCCACATAACGATGCTAAGTTCAATGAATGAAAATGAGTGGTGATAGTATGATGAGGAGACATTATATGAGTTTGTGATAGTATGACGAGAATACAGACTCCATATTTTTTTTTATATAATTCAAATTTCATGAATCTTAATGTCATCGCTCAAACTCATCAATTAATGCATTGTTTGTTTTAGCCCCCATTCATTCGGGCTAGCTATCTCAAGTCATTTCAGCCTCATGTGTCATGATTTCGTTCCATAAGACTTTAATCTAAAAATTTCTCGATAATTAAAATTTTGAATTCATCTTTCTATATATATAGTTTGATTTTAACTAAGAAAATACCAATAATTGAATTATGAACTCACTCTTTAGCTATATCCCTATCATTCCAACTATTTGAGTTCATGTGCCACTTGTCCATTTTGGACTTTTATAGATTTAGTTTGTTGTAATTTTGGACCATGAAAACAAGGACCATAAAAGCCAAAATGGGCCAACCATAGATAGAATATTATTGGATGTCATATACTACAACAATAGAATACAAATAAAAATTAATTAGATATTGGACATATACTATATATTATTAGGTCATCCACCCATTCTTCTATTTTAGTCACATCTCTTTCTTACACGTAAAGTACATTACCCCCTTTTTGTCCTCTCGACTTTAATCAGATCTTTTTATAATAGTCATTTTTTTTACGATTGTAATATAAATTTACGTTTTTGAAATAATTGATAATATAATATATATTTTCTTATTCACAAAAAAGTTTGAATATATCAACTTTATGCTTAAGTCTCTTTCATTGTTGTCCAATGACATAAAGCCTCATAAATCTCATCTCTTTGATACTTAATCATAAATTACTAAACACACTTTCCCACTAATACTATACCAACAATTTACTAATAATTAACCCACCTACTCCTAAGCACTTTCATAAAGTGTCAAAAGTATGAAACTATAGCTCCTATTTAATTAAAACAGAAAAAAAAATTCTTATAAAATTAGTTCACGTATATTCGATTTTAAAATTTTCATGATTGAACAATAATTAAATAAAATTCAATAATTATCATGACCCCTTCTCCAGTTAGTACTCATAACTTGTAGCGGATTCAGAGTGTATAACATGCAAGTGTACGAATTTATAATCAATAAAATCTGAATTTATCGATACGCTAAATATGATCCCTAAAAAGTGTTATCGCACATTGAAATTGTGGTATAGTGAAGAGAGACGTATGAAACAAGTTATTGTTTGGTAAACAGCCTAAATCAAGCATTACATTAAAATTAAATTATATATCACATGGGTTGCCCCCTTCTATATATTCCTAGGCTAATCAAAACAGGTCACATGTACCATTTTACCTAACTTTAAATATTAAAAATTAAAAAATCGACAATTTAATACACAAAATATTTTACGTTAGCGTAGTTTGAAAATTCACTAGCCCTCACAACTATCGAAGAGTAAACTTCAAACCCTCAAAGTTACCATAAGAAAGAAGAAAAAAACAATTTTCTCATGATTTGAGTTAATTATTAAGTTACCATAAGAAAGAAAAAAAAAACAATTTTCTCATGATTTGAGTGAATTATTTGTTACTTTATATTATAATATTTTATAGTAGAAGAGAATATCTGTCACTTTTATAGGCCCCTTTTAATTGGCAAAAATATAATAGGAGAATCACCATATGAAATATTCATGAAAAATACCTTTTTAACATAAAGAATTAACTTTCTTTTAGTTTTAACTCAATCTATAATATTCATATTAGAAATCATTTTAATTTTGAATAAGGAAATTTATATAAAAAATAGATTATAGTAATTTTATATTTAAAGCTCGAATAACTCAAAACGTTTATTATGAATCAAAAAGTGGTCATTACTCAAAGTAATAATTAGAGTAAACCAAAAAATTCTTACATGATCCAATGTTTCACCAATCCCTAAAAAAGTTAGAAAAGTAAAAATTTATCTCTCTATAAATATTTAATTAACGAGTAAATAATTAATGAATAATGCTAAATGATTAGAATTTGATAAAAAAATTTAAAAATTATTATATTTTTTAGTTTTAAAATAAATTTATCTTTTTTCATTTTTAACTAAAATGTTAAAAAGGTAAAATATCAATCTGGCTAAATTTTATGGCAAATTTTTTTCCATAATTTATTTAATTAAAACAAAAGATTAGTTTAATGCGCTAATACTATTTCTATTTATATATTTCTGCTAAACTATTTTCAAGATTTGAACCCTCGTATCGTTCATGCAATAAGAAAACGATTATTTGTAATTTATTTATAATATAAGTTACCAATATTATTCTTTAACAGAAAAATGTACAGTTCATTCAACTTTATAGGACCAAAAATATTAAAATTGTAAATAGCAGAAAATTAAAAAAAAAAATTAGAAAATAAAAGTAGGTCCAAAAAAAAAAGTAATTAAAAAGAAAAATATAAATACTTCCAATGGCAATAAACGCCTCTGCTTCATCTTCTTCTCCAAATCACTAAACACTCACATCACAGCTCCGAGCAAGTTGATATTTGACGGCGTTATTTCCGACGATAATTCCGCCGTCGCCGGGATGATTTCCGAACGGAACATACGCCGTACACGTAACATGTAAGTGATAATGCCCAGTCGTAATCGTTCCAACTCTCCATTTCACACGGCCGTCAATTTTGAAATCGAGCCAAACGCCGCCGTTTTGCTGGTCTTCCTTCAGATCTGGTCCATTATAAGGTGAAATCGGAACATTGTTACTGAAAACGAACGGCGACCATATGTTAACGTCTTTATGACCTTGATAAACTGAAGGAATTTGGGTATAATATGTAATTTGTTGATTGTGATAGTTTGCGTATGTTTTCATCTTATCGTAGTAAACCCCGACTTTATCGTTAGGGTTCCGGGCAAATATAGTGACTTGAATCGATGTGGAGAAGATATTCGGAGCAGAGACGTTGAAATTGAAGATGGTGGCGTCTTGGAGAATGAATCTGGGTTTTTTCGGTTGTAGAATTGCCCAGACTAGTAAGATGGTTAACAGGACGACGAAGAGGAAAATTAGGATTCCGGCGAAGAGTCGTCGGACGCGTTTTCGTTTTTTGTCTTTGTGGTGAGTGCACTCCTTGACTGACATGGTGGTGTTTACTCCGGTGGTAGCTCCGGTGATCGGAAAAGTAGTGGTGGAGCTGAAGATGTGGATAGTGATAGTACTAGTGTGGAATAAAAGGGAAGTGAGTGGTTATGGGGATTGGTTTATCTATATAGAGTAATAAAGTGAGCTAGTGTTACTTTCCTTTAAAAAAAAAATATTTAAAACTTAACGACTCGATTAAATTTGAATTTACATCATAAAAATATATCGTAGAATAAATTATAATATCGAAAAACTCTTCATTCTAGTGATATATCTATTTGTTTGAAATTACTGATTAAGATAAAAGGTTAGAAAAGAAATAACTACTGATATATAAGTTAAAATTATAAACTTTATGAATATACATATGCATGTTGAACCTTTTTTAATCTTTTTACGTATTTAATTTCTTAATAAAATTTTAATTTCATAGTTAAATAGAAGAATTTCAATCGTTTCGTCACTCGTTACGAAAAAGGCATGCGTAAGTTTACTCAATTGAAGTGTAGTTACATAATTAATAGTTGTTACTAATTAAAGTTGTTCAAGAAAAATTACATATAGTTGTTTAGTTATAAAGAGTATATGTATAGTAAATTTTAGAAATATAAATAAGTAATTTTAAGTTTTTACTCTATGTAGAATTCACGAGAGTATAAATTTTTTATATTTTATGTTTCTATGAAAAGTTATTTTTATAACTAAAAATTTTTATGATAGTTTGTCAAAATTTATGTTTTTTATTTTTACGAAAAGTTATTTTTATAACTAAAAATTTAAAATTTTAAACCTTTTTAACTCACGTAATAACAATTTTATCATTTTCACTGATTAAAAAAGACAATTTCGTCTCTCTTTTTCTCAAAACCCTTGTTTAACTTGTGAAAATGATTAGTAACAAATGTTTTAAAAATAATTTACAAGAAATATATATGGCGTAAATGACACGTTTATATCGTAATAGGGTCCACTTTGTTATTATTATGGGGCAAATAAATTTCCCACCCAAGCCCGCCGACAACGGTTGGTTTCTTTGAATATTTACGTATTTATTCACTCCCTTTCAAAATAAGTTTCTAAAATATTTTAAAATGTTAAATATTTTATGTGAAATATTATTATTATTGTTGTTTGCCGACTTGAAGCTATAATTTTAGTATTAAAATAACGTGATAATTATTTTATGTCATTTTCTTAATATCAAAATAATCTGAAAGATTTTTTATATTTAATTCCATTTATAAGTTGAATTCTTATATTTAAAATTTTGCCAATGTTTAAATTATCGTGTTTCAATAAATTTATGAATTTAATCGATAAAATCATAAATAAAAAAACTTTACATACAAATAGAGTCAAATATAAGATTTTTTTTCAAGTCATTCCTTCTTTTTACGTTTAGGTTCAATGCATACATTTTTTTTCTTCGAAAAGTTTGGAGGCAAAATACGTAAATTAAAGTTAAATTAATAATGATATAAATTAAAAGACACGTCAAGATCAATTAACATGGAAAATTTTGATTATAGTTCTAAAAAGTAAATTAATTTAATTAGTATCCAAGAATGATCAATATATATTCCTAACCATAATAATTATAAGAGATTATATTAAACGGGTGGTTAATCATTATCACGAAGCTAATAATATCTTAACGAAATGTCTCTATTTTGATTAGTGAAATTGATTAGTAACGTCATTACTTAGTAATCTCTAAAAATAATAACATGCTCTTTTAATTTGCATGAAGGGGATGTTTTCATAATATTTAATGTGAATAGTGAGGATGGTAACAGCCCAGCTAATGGTGACAATGACGTTAACGAGGACGGATTTAGAGGTTCGATTACAGTTTTCGCATATTTATTATATTCAGATAAATTATATTTATCTAAAAAATTATTAAATATTTAATTATATCTAAATTGTTATTTTAATATTAATTTAAAATATTTATAAATTTTAAATTTTAAATTTGCGCATGTATAGTCAAAAAAATGTAGCCGACCAAGTGGGAAAATGGTGCATTAAGGCCCCTACCCTTTAGAAGGTTCATGTATAGGCCACGAGTCCAAAATTTATATTATTAAGAATTAATGAATGAATCATGAATTAAATCGACAAATATAATTGATCAGAGAGAATAATATAAGTGTCTCTACGAAATAAATTTAGTCTTGATATTTTAATTTTATTTAATTTATTTTTCTATACATTATTATGACATGTTATTATTAATGATGGAAAAGAAGAGAAGTATTTTAAGCAACCATCCATGTGGTCAATTTGGGACATCATTTTCCTTGCATTATATTCCACCATATATACCTACTAGCTAATGTTCACTTTTCCCCCCTAATCAATAATTAACTTAAACTATTCTCTATAATCTATTAATTAAATAATTAATTAATCAAATGAATCCACAAAAATTTTGCTTCTAATTATTCATGGATGTGACAAATTAGCAGCCCCAAACAAGGTCAGCAAAAGACTCAAGTACTAGAAAGTTCAATCAACAACTATTTGCTTAGAAATTATTGGCATTTACATGTGAATAATAATTGTATATGTTGTCTTGTGATTCTAAATTATTGATTATGTGATTAATTAAATTCACAAAAAGAAAAAAAGAAAAGGTGACCAATCATTCTTGTCGCTAAACAATAAAATTTTAGCTAATACTCTCCCCGTCCAGAAATATTTATCATGTTTCGCTTATTCAAAGTCAATTTGACTAATTTTCAAAGGTAAATTAGATCATATTAATTCGATATTTTAAACAAAAAAAATTAAATATTCTAAACTATATGAAAAGTACTATAAATTACAATATTTTCATATTAATATGATGAAAAAATGCATCTTAAACTGTTAGTCAAAGTTTTTATAGTTTGACTCTAAAAATAGAAATTATGACAAACAATATCGAACAGAGGAAGTATTATCTAACAATGCATTATACACATAAATATCTTGCTTATAATGGACTAGCTATTTAACCCCAAAATTTATAGTTAATTTTGATAATACATCATACGAACCATGGTGGGAAAATTTATAAAAAGAAAAATTCTCACCTAAAGTATATCAAGAGATCGATGAGAAGTCTCACATTGGCCGAGAAACGTGGGGGCGGAGGGCTACTTTCGAGGAAAAAATAACTTCAAAATACCTAGTACACAAACCTGAAAAAACTCTGAATGAGTATTTATTATTCCACTGTAATTTTACCAAATCATACACTCACAAATTAGGTCATGTATACCTTTTACTACTAACGTCTTTTTTAGGTACATGAAGTTGAACTCCTCTAATTGTTTCATTTGGACAATATTGGTAGAAAAAAGCAAGAAGCAACATATATAGAAAGCCCCCACAAATGCTAATTTAATGTTGTTTTGCTGGTGTCACTTAAAAAATCTAAGTATATGCATATGATCCCCACAAGAATTTCATATATTTTAACCTTATCATTATAATGTACATATATTCCAAAAGTAAAAAAGGTATACTTTTGGGCTCTGACACAAACATAAACCTTCCTTGGAAAATTTTAATTTTTTGTACTTGTTAACAACATCTTCTTTGAAGTTTGAGCTCTTTGATTAGTTAAAGTACATACAAGTTTAGAAAATTTTCTTTAAAAATTGGTTGTTTCATCCAATGTGTGAGTGACACGTGGTGTACAAAATAATCTATTTTGAAGAATGTGAAAATTGATCAGGAGGAATAGAAGGATTGAAGGGGTGGGGGTGGGGGTAAGACTTTTGATGATGGAAAATGAGTAGTAAACAAGGATGTTTTAAGTAGAGTCGGAATTAAAATTTAAACTTTATTATAAATTATAAATTTTAGTATACTGATATATTAGGTGTTATTAAGTGGATCTCTTAAGTTGAATTGTTTTATTTATATATATATAAATAAATATGTAATACAAACAAAGAAATTAACTTAATTATGTTGAGTTTAGCTTGGTCGAAATCATAATCAACATTTTACCACGTATGAGTGGAATCAAAAAATGATACTACTACATATAGAAGATTAAAAAGATTACTTTTTTATTGTCAAATCTCGTTGACTTCCTCCTGTATTTACTTGAAATTTTTTAATAAAAATTTTGACTCTGCCACTATTTCTAATTCCGGGAAAAGTAGGTTTAGAAAATGAAAGGAAGGATATAGATATATCAAATGTGTGAGTCATACATGTGTGTGTTGTTCATTGGTCTTTTTCACACATTTAGTGCCTTTATAGTGTATAATTAGAAAAAAACAGTAAAAAGGACCCTTTTCTTTTTGACATTTGAGGACTTTCATTTAATTTAATTAGGTGTTGCTAGTTATATATCATGAGAATAGAGACTTCCCAATTTCCATAATACTCAAATAATTTAAATGCATTGTTAAGTTATGTCAAATAACTTCATAACATGAAATACAAATGTTTTTTTTTTTCATTTTCTAGTGTTCAATTTTAGAAGCTCGATACATGATTAACACGACTAATACAGATTTACATCGAAAAACTAACTAAAAAGTAATTAAATCATTTTATTTGTAAGATTAATTATACTCTACATTTGAACTCAAAATTTCTTCTTGAATTTTTCATACTAATTACTACCCATACTTCCTTGGGGTGGGGGATGATAATTAAATTCGACAGTTGAACAATTTCTTTAGAGTGCATGGGAGCCACATTTTAACATTTAATTTAGAAGATATAACAGACATTTTGAATTTGAATTTTAGATATTAAGTAATCTTGATTTAGGAGTATTAGTTTTATTTTTGAAGTCGAATTTTCTAGAATAAATTTAAATTACTACGGTCTCAAAGAGATTATCAGGAAAAAAAAGAAGACAATTAAGCGCACTAAAACTCTTGCGGTGCATAAGGTCAAGAGAAATATCCGTCCATACAGAGCTATTGTACACATCCTTATCTTAAATTTCTGCGAAAACAAAAAATATAATAGCAAAAAAGTTCTCCCTCAACACCCCTTACCCTCACCCCACCTCCACCCACATGCACTTCACCAAACTTCCCACAACTGCTTAAAAAAGTTATAAAGCTAATTATATAACAAACATATAACGTATTCGATATAATTTTACACTTAAATACGAAAAAGGTTAAATTACATAGATTTTTTACCTTTATTTCTATGAGTTAAATAAGTTGTTTTCAATAAATTGTC